GTGATAGCATTCTCTGATAGCTAACTGTACTTGTGACAATTGCAATGGCGGTTGTTAGAATAGGCATTGTTCGGCAAATACCTACACAGTTATCTACTTTACTCGTTGTCACTGCGGTTGAAGTCTGATAAGAACACTCGTGGCAATAATGAGATAAATTATAAAGAGATAAGATAATTTGATAGAATTGTGTAAGATCAATCGCGCGAATCTTTCCATGATTTGTTGTTTATTAAATACTTATCAAATCTTGGATAATAACGTCTACGTTCTTATTATACGTATAAAATGTAAGATGTAAATAAATACAATCATTACTACATAGTCAGTTAATAATGTCGTTTCTGCCTACGAATACTACTAGCGTTTCTTCGATAAAAGAGGCTAATTTGATTCATTAGCCTCAAACAATCAACAATGCCCAGCGAGGAGATCAAAGTTCTCCCGATAATGAGGTCGCATTGTTTCTTTATCAAACACTTTCAATGTGATACCCGTAAACGAGCACAGTATAACGAGGCGACCACATTTAGATGTAGCGTGATCAAAAGATCGTGAACGAAACCACTAGAAATTATGACACATTTCAGCTTTTAATTCGAAAAAGTGAGCAAAAACGTCTATAAATCCATAGGTGGATATAGTGGATACTATTATATATTACTATACTTGACTCACCTTCGAATAGAACACTTAAAAAGTTTTAAGATCCGAGAAATAACGAAGAAAAGAAAGTTCTACTGTCTGCGTTCAGCGAATCGATTCCTGCTAAGCGTTCAGGGTAATGCCCTGTGAATTACTTCAAAATATGTCTACTACCTATCAGGATGCAGGAAGGTAATTTTACATGGTTAGTCAAGCTTTCAGTGCAATTTCTTGATGATTANAAAAGGGGGTAGGGGTCATTGTAAAAATCTAACTGAATTACAGAATACTAGGTAAGGGTTTATTTTTCCAAGGTAATCCTGAAGTAGCCTAAATAGCCCGATCTTATTTTATAGGTAGCCTAAATGGCTACCGGTAGCCGTTTGCATTTTTTGGTCGCCATTTGACCCCCAGAGGTAGCCTAAATGGCGATAATTCGCCTAATCTGGCACCACTGCGGGCCAGCCGAGGAGAGTGGAAGAGCGGTGCGTACGGCAGTCGGCGGCTCCGAGCCTCGGTGCATCGAACGCGGTGAGAGCGGGGTCGACGAACCTAACGCCATGTGCATTCAGTTATGTTCGATTTTGTATCTAATCGCTATTTACTGTGATTAGTCATTTGTGAAAACAAAATTGAGAGGATGATTATTTTTAGGAACCTCAGCAAGCCTTTGAAAATAAATTGTTCAAATGGCATGAAAATGGTATTGATTATGAAACCCAGAAATCATTATGTAGAAAAATAGATATTTGAACTATTTTAATAGCTCATGAAAAATAGAAACTAAACGAGTCATAATAAATCATCGTATTTCAGGTCAAAAGTTCATAATAATTCGAAGTAATTAACAAGTTTAGCGAATTTCAATTACCGACTACCTACCTACCTTCTTACTATCAGTTTACCTTTCATAGTTATTTCTTACATGATATTAAATATCTTACTATACTACTAATGAGGCGTGATTAAAAGAACCTACGTAGGCTAAAAAACCTATGAAACCTACCTAAGTAGGTACCACATTGTTGTCAACCCTCCAACAAAGAGGAGTCTAGTGGCAATTAAAACAAAAACCGATACAGCCTTCACACGCCTCAATCACAAATTCAAATTTTGGTGAAAGGAAAAATACCTATTAGGTACTGTGTTGTAGGTAGGTAGGTAGTAGGTAAGTACGATGGAGACCCAAGTTTTGAGCCCTTTTCGACAACCCGGGCGCGCGAGGCCCTTTTTGTTCCCACTCCGCCCCAGCCTCAAATGCCCCCAATTTTCCTCTGTCTCTCAATATGCGCAGTAGATATAATTTATACATGTAGGTACCTACAATATGTAAATGTATGGAGCTAGGTAGCTAAGGTAGGTACCTCTATGACGGAACAGTGATCATTATAGGTACCTACATAGTTCCCATCCATAAAACGAGCTAACTTCTAGTTGCTAAGCTATATACCTACATACCTATTGGTGAGATTTGGAAAAATCTACGTGCTAGCTAGATTCGTAGTCGAACAATGCTGGGTTCGACTTCGATTATAGGTACCTACGATCTTTTGATGATGATTGTTACATAGGTAGGTAGGTACCTAGCTACTTTCTTTCTATTAACTTGTTTAGTGAAAATGAAAAATTAACTGGCATTCATTATACCTACCTACATGCCTTACGTTACTTTGGGTTTAGATCAATTTATAAAAGTGAAAGTGTGCAATATTCAAATGAATGAAAGTAATATTTATTTATAGGTAACCTACCATGTCGGTAGGTACATAGGTATTACAGCAAAGGTAGGTACTACCCAGTTACCAACATGATGATTTTCAGGCACTGCGGCCTTGTTCCCGCCCGCAGAACGGCAAGTGGTTTCCCAGTTCCTATTTACGTGAAGAGGATAGGAGTATGAAGATATGTTACTGGCTGAATTTCAGTAAGTAGCTTCATTTTAAGTACTAGCTAATCATAAAGCTGAAATAATCTGGTTGAGGTCCCACCTACCATGTTTATTTTATTAATAAAATAATAATCATATAAACAAAACAAACAGGTGCAAACTGCAATCTTGGGCAAAAGCCATGACATTGATACGCTCTGAACCTAAACAGCAGTAAAATTGTGGAGCTAAGCCAAGGCAGCATAAATTAATGACATCTTTCAAGTAGGTAGGTAGGTAGGCAGGCACTGTACGTGTTATCTAACGAAAGCCGCGCGTAAAGAACATTATACAATAATTATGATGCCGTCCGATTGAAATAAGACAAGTTATGACTTAAACTGGCCTTGAAATTAATTTATCATTTATTTTAAACACCAAGCATTACCTGGAGCTCCTTATTCTTGTTATCTTTGAGCGATGCTGCTCTGATAACACCAGCTTTCCATCCCCATTCGGAAACTTTATTCACGTTAATTTTCGTAACACCACTCACAGAGAGAAATCGTTTGCCAACTAAATCTTCACGGTATTTATAGGCCATAACGAACTACACAATCACATTATTCACTTTAAAAACTACACAAACGTCAAGAAACTGCGCTCAAACGCACAACACGTCACACTCTTCGTTGAGCGAAGGGAAACTACGTGGAAAACAAAAAACCTCTCTGCGTAACGTATTTACAACCCGACCACATGAAATAGTTCGCAGAGATAGTGTCAATGCTGAGAAATATAGATCTTTTGAATTTGGAATCGTGATAATCAGCTTCTTTATTATATTGCAAATTTAAGATGTTCATTCAATGCAAATATTTGATTCTGTTGATGTGGCTTCAGGATTTATCCAACTTATAAAAGTGATTGCAAGGCCGTACTAACTACGTTGTAGTTATATTTGAACGCGATAGATGGCGCTTTTTACGAGTATCTTCATAAAGCTAGGATAGACTAACTGCATGTAATGTAAAAAAAACTTTTATAATAGTTTTTATTACTATTCTTATTTTTATTGAGAGGTTTGATAAATAAATACAATAAATTGATATTTTTATTTAAATCCAGTTTCGCAATATCAATACAATAGTATCGATGTTCATGAAAATCTGTTTGATGGTAATTTTCCATGAATAATAATCACGTTGTGATAATGAAGGTTGAATAAAATGCAGTTTATTTCTTTATTTAAAAATATCACCAACAAGATATACCACAACAAACTATGAACATTTTTAAACGAGACTGACAAGTAATTATTTAGATTAATTAAATATTTTACTGATAAAATTATTTTTTGGGGTTTTTTACTAACTAAATCTCAATTAAAAATAAAATAAAATACAAGGCTTATAAATAAAAATAAAAAACATTCAAATCGCTACCTTGGGGGAAGGTGCCCAGAATGCTGGTCACATACACATTTTTTTCCATGCTGGATGACCAGGCTAATTCATGGGCCAAGGTATAAGGCCAGCCTTTGGATCGTAAGATGTCTCAACTAACTGATTAAAATAACCGCGAGATGCTGGAGCTGTCACTTCCATTCATGGTTAGCTCCTGTCTGTGGGTATTCATAATACATATAATTTAATTTAAAATAAACTGTAAAAACGTATTTCGGATCGGTATTCAAATCAAATCAAGCGTAACTATTATGACATACTGCAACACATTGTGTTGTAAAACCTTGGGAACTAATAAATGTACTATAAAATGTATCCTGAGATAGTAAAAGCATTCGATTATATTTTGTAATTAATTAAANCTATATATATATAAAAGAAAGTCGTGTAAGTTACTTCGCTTATAACTCAAGAACGGCTGAACCGATTTAGCTGAAAATTGTCAGGGAGGTAGTTTAGAGCCAGGAGAAGGACATAGGATACTTTTTATACCGTTCGAAATAAAAAAAGTCTGCTTATTTATTGCCATTAAGGCGGAACAAAGTTCGCCGGGTCAGCTAGTTAATAATAAAATTAAATTAATAAGATTTTGGATACTACGTCATAGGTAATCACAGAATCCTTGTAAAATCCCAACTAATATTATAAATGCGAAAGTAACTCTGTCTGTCTGTCTGTCTGTCTGTCTGTCTGTCTGTTACGCTTTCCCGCTTAAACCTCGGAACCGATTTTGATGAAATTTGGCATAGAGATAGTTTGAGTCCCGGGAAAGAACATAGGATAGTTTTGATCCCGGTTTTTGAAACAGGGACGCGCGCGATAAAGTTTTTCTGTGACAGACAAAATTCCACGCGGGCGAAGCCGCGGGCGGAAAGCTAGTAATTAATAAAAAAATGGCATTTTTACTTAACATCAAAAGATATTTTTACTATTGTGTACACATCACCTTAACTAGTACAAAAATTAAAACATAGATGTCGCTACTCCCGAACATATTGATTGGAGAATGGTCACGTGATCAAAACATCATTACTTTTCAACATGGCGGATTAGACTTTTGCCTGGACGGTTGTGTTAGTGTTTTGTCATGTTTACTTTTGTGATTGTTTAAAGTGATTTTATCATATGTGAACATTAATATGATATCGGCGATAATTTCTCGATTGGTTATGTGAGTATAAATATTTTTTATATTATATTTTAGGTTGTTTATTGTGACGTATCATTCTACTTATTTATTTCTAAGCCGACCCTTTGTTCCTTAAACTTAATTTTAATATCCATGCTACTACGTTTCATACCGTAGTGAAAATAGCTATTAGTAGTTATTAAGAACGGTTTCCTTTTCAAAACGGTCCATGCTCAACGAGGTCCAAACTTAGTGTCCAAAAGACAAGAGGTCTGTCTCAGGCTAAGTAACGTTGTTGACAGGAGAAAAAAATTTCGATAAATATTTAATATTCTCTTGAGGATTTCTGCCATAATTTTAACACAAATATCTTCTTACTAGACTCGCTCGATGGGAGGGCTTAATAGTGACAACTGCCAAAAGCTTAAAATTATACTGATCATTTTGTTCAAAAATTGATATTATTGAAACATTCTACTGTGATAAATGTTAGGTAGGTACCTACAACCTAAAGTTACAACTAAAATTGAAATTTTGCAACATCATTGTGCCTAGACTAGTTTGTGGTATCTTTTTTCCCTCTTCTATTTTACATTTTTGGGGCAAAGCTTAGCGTTTATTTAGTTAAAAATCAGGTAATTTGGGAAAACAGTTTTTACGGAGAACTCTTGATCAAATAAATTGTTTTACTAATTACTTACACTTGTATTAAATTAAAAATGTTGAAAAAAAAGCATGTTTGGAGCTTTTTTACTCTTCAGAGATCCATTCCGTACTAATTAGGTGCCAATTAGACCGTATTATTAATTATTAAGCCTCTCTGCTGTCCGCTGGCCCAGCGGGTTGCATCTCAAAAATAGTTTACAGTTAAAAAATTCACTTAATGCGTATTTTTATTGCCGCTAGCTAGAGCAATAAATAATAATTACTAAATGAAATTTTTTAAGTTAAATTGGGCAGCTTCTGGTTTTTTTTTTAATTTGTTCTAAAAAATTTAAGAAGATAAAAACAAAACATTTTTAATTCAGATTCTGTAGGTACACAAAATATCTTTATACTGTAGAGAATAACCAAGTAGGTACAACGCTATCTTAGTCGAATATCAGATTTTCTATTTCAAAAATATAATTTATAATGCTGGTTTGTTTTAGTATATAAACAAGAGAGATAAAATCGGTTTTTTGTGTAGCCTTCTCTTATTGTTCATAATAGTTGTAAAATTCGAGTAGATTACTGGCAATTTTCCAATATGTTACGCGATTTTGGGTTGTGACGGTTAGAATTTTGGCAGCACTGCTCCTGCAAGTTGGAATTTTACAGTCGTGTTTTCACCTTCAGACGTTGATCAGACTTGTTACTGGAAGGTATCTATTGTTGTCATTTTTACTGATTTATACACGACGTTCGACGAAAATCCTTCATTTTGAGAGCTGAATTTCATCTATAGTCTTATCATAGACTTAGCAAGAAAACACTTGGAATAAACAAGATCTGAAGACTGAAAAAGCTATTGAAACTCAATCTGAATCCGAGCTGAGTGCTGCCGCAAACAAAGCTTTGTATTGGGTGCCATTTTGAAATTCGTCATCAGGGTATCCCTGTACTGCCGGGTGCTATTTCGGGTGAAACTCGGCCGTTCGCCTCTGGGCTGCAGCTACTGAAGCTTTAGTTTGTGGCGCTCCCGCCTTGCGCCCGCGTCGTTACTCTATGCAACAGAAGTGAAGTGCGTTGACACCTAACTGTAGTGATTCATCGGTGTTCGGTCTTCGATTTATTTGAGTTATTGTCTGTTCCGAGTGTGCTCAATCCTTTCGTGCTGCCTGTTGGTCGTACACCTTGACTCAGACACTTATAGTCTTATTGAGAGCGCTTGTCTTACCTTTTTCGGTATAACCTCGACTGAATTACGTGTACCTTTACCCAGTTTTGCTGGTGACGTATATTTTCTTGTATAAAATGTCTTCGCGTACTAAACTTGAAATCAGAATAACGATATATTATGAGAATCATGTAGTTGTCATTTATATTTAGGGCAGGTGACTACTATAATTTTTAGTTATTTCCATTTATTATTATTTTTAGCGATGCTTTAAATAATATACTGGCAATGACTATATTTGTGTTTATTTTTAGCCTTTAATTAATTGGTTATTTTATTTTTATCACATGATTAACATTTACCATTTCAGCGTATTTCAGAATCACATTAATGAACGAAAATTCTGGAATATTGTAAGCATTCTTTTCATGAGTCATAGGTTAATAGAATGTTATTGAAATAACCATTCCACTAATGGTAGAAGCACCGTTTCGCTGCTGCTGTAATGTAGGTGAGCTCCCTAAAATAACCATGGCATAATTAACGAAATGGTAGAGTATGAATGGCTTCAGTAGACTAAATTTCCCAATTCTTATGGACACGAAACATAAAATAATCTGTCTTTTTTAACTCAATAATATTTGTAAACCTAGGTACTTGTAAAAAATAAGTTTAGTATCAAACTTTGGTTTGGTTAACTTGAATTTAATCGTTTCTGTCGTTATCGATCGACTACTACTCGTTGTTTCTGGGGTTTTTGTAATGGCATTGTTCTTGACATTGAGTCAGTTTTTAACAGGCTTCTATTTAAGTATGAATTTATTATCTCTATCGATATCTATTAGTTGGTTGTTCTATGTACGTAGCTTGCACTTGCAACAATAATTTGAAATTGTAATGAACTGCAGCGGTATCGGCACGCTTGACCGCATCTTAAAATGCGCAGGAAACTCATATTATTGCACGAACTGCTTTAGTACTACAATACTTTAGGTAAAAGTTGATATAACGCTTTGTTTTACTATTCCATTTACGACGTATGAAAATTTTACGAAGAAATCACAAAATTCCTACAGAATACCAGCATCATGTTCTTTACGGAATATGATACAAGCTTAGTAGGAGCCATTTTGGTTCAACAATTTATTTATAATTATTATCCAAATTGTGTAAAATTACTATGTTTGAACCAAATAAACATTTTTTCTTTCTTTCTTTCTTTTTCATAATGTATCTTCTTACACATATGCTGCTACCTCGTGTTTTTTATTGAGAATGAATATTTAAGACAACAAGACCTTATTCTGTATGATTTGAGACTGGAAGACTGTAGCTTTGTCATCTGTCGCCTTACCAGTTACCACAGTGGCATAAATCACACACGTATCACTTACCTGCAATCCTATCAGATAGCAAGTGCAATTAAATATTCCAGCTTCATCCGTCATAGTTTCAATCCTCTGGATGTTCTCATTTGGTAAAAATATACATATTCATTCACTCCGTAAAATAAACGCCCACTCGATCCCACACAGTTTTAATTTGGGTAAGTGGACCAAGAGATCACCAGACCAAAAATATGGCTCATCTTGGTTCCAAAGTTATTACTTATTGTGCATTTTCAAAAGGCTATAAATCAAGAAAATGTCTTCGTCTGTTTAGTAGATAAACCGTCTATATTTCTGCCTGTCACGCCCCACTGGCTGTTACATCGACCCTGAAGGCTGTTACGATGCGCACTCGCCGTAATTGGTGCTTCGATAGAAAGGATACCTATTCGCACCACTCACTGAGTTGGTATAACCGGATGCATTCCAGTTACGTGCGTGTTACTAAGTGCTCGTTGCTTTTTTGATAGTCCAAGCTAAGACAAATACAAGATTAAGTAATTAAAGTTTCAATTGGGAACTCGCTAGCTTATTATCTGGTCACAACAAGCAGGAGTCAATAACTATGTAGATGTCAGTAACTGTTTCCATTTGTAAGACCATCTACAAAACGCTTGCTTGGTAAATTTATCACTAAGAATAAACAAAACAGACCTTGTACATCTACATACATACTTGCAACAACGTGTACTTATGTTCGTATGCACGCATTTAACAAAGGATGCACAAGCCCGAAGCAACCGAACCGAAGGTTCTTGACCTATATGCTATGCGTCCGTGGCGGGAGAGCTATTATATTTTCGTAACTGGATATGCCGAGCATGTTCTGAGATGGAAAATCCTTAAGATATTTTCATTTTTCACTAACGAATTATATTATCACTGAAATTGGTTCAAAAGTAGCTTGCGAAAGATACTGCTTGTACCTACTTCTATTTTTGTTAGTGTACTTAGTTACATTGTCTAATTTTAAGTGCTATATGACGAAACCAACCACATTTCTTCAATAACAAAGGCTGCAGATTATTGTGCGTCATTATATTCTCGTTACGTTATATGGTTTCGCTTACTTAAATCATTTTTAATATTCGTGGCCTCAGTGGTATACGACGGCATATCAGGGGCGTGCTGTGCATATCGGAGATAAGTATTGCTTCCCCGGTAAACGTGGTTTACTGATGAAAATCGGTGAAATCTACACCTAATCTCCATTGCTGTGTGTATGTAGTAGAAATGTGGAACCAAACAAAATCCTGTTTTTCACTCTAATGAATATGAAGACAAACAGCTCGTCAGAATTTATTTACTTCTAATTGCCCAGTATTTGGAAATCAATAGACTGAAATTCATAAATGTGGGCACGCTTCACGCCTCAGTTAGTTGGAAGTTGGAAACTTACCTAATTCGTATAAACTAGGTATATGTAACGTTTTCGTCGGACACTGGCTTTTAATACGTTACTTTCATCAATTTGATTCTGAATGTTAAAAAATATTTTAACAGTTTTATTGGTATTTTGATACGCTTAATAGAAGATAGAGTATAATTTTAACTTTTCCGTGATGTACAGTATGTATGTATATTCCTAATTGTTTTTTGGATTGATGACGCTAAATATTGTACTTAACGAAGCAGGCACTTAAATGATAGTTATTTACAAATTAATTAATATTCATTATTCGATCGCTTCATCACATGAACTGTCCACTGCGAAATTCGTACCCGTAACCGCAGTTAGTATTGTGTAGTCCTTCCACTTAGCCTAGCTATCGTCCATGACTAATACAAAAATATCCTATGGTTCAGTTCTAAAAAATCAAGATCACTAATCCTGCTTTAGCTTCTTTATCTGGCCATGATCGACGTATTTGGAGCACATGGAAGCGGCTAGCGGTTAAAAATATTTATTTCTGTCTATAGGGAGTTGTGAAATCGATTTCTAATAAAACTAATAAACCTATCCATGCGTGTGCGTGTGCATTCAGTAACTGCTATTTAAAATTCAATACTTACTCGTACTTCTTTTCTACAAACGCGTGAAAGAAAATAAACCTTACTTGTTATTGTTGAACTCAAGTAGGTATATTCATTTCTGCTATTTTAATAAGGTCAGATGTGTGGGTTTTAGGAGTGTAATAGTGCGTCACTGTAACAAAAGAAATTCATTGCTGAAATCCATTAAGTTATGAAATATACAATGCATGTATGAGTCACACCAACAAGCAAGAATTTAACTATAAAATGTTATTACATAAACCGTTGAGGACTTGGATTACGAATTCCAATGGGTAGATCCAATCTAATGAAAAAATCAGATTAGACAGAAAAATTTCTTCAGTCTTTGGTATGGTCTAATCTCTTCAATTTTTTATTTAAAAATTCCCTGTAATATCCTTGAATCAAATACAATCTCTGAATGACCTAACATCCTCTGGTAAGACGCAATCCCATCCACGGATGTGAGCCTGAAAACATCCGCATCCCGCAATATCCCTGGTAAAAGGGTGTGTTTCAGCGAGCGAGCAAGACAATCTAAAACCTAGAAATCGACATTAAAGAGTTTCTGAAAAGTAATGTAAGGATGAGGATACAAATGTAAGGATCTAAAAATTACTCTACATGTGATCGCTTTAAGTTCCATTCTAACTTTTAGGTTTCTTGTAGGTAAGTAATTGTCAGTTTTTGTGTGGTGGCAGTATCGTTAAAATCAATCAACTTATCGCCCTACTTGTGAGCTATCTAAAAAGAATGTCTTGAATAACAAGTAATTTCAAGAATCCACTATCAATTTGCAACTACCAATTCAATGCTGATTGTTCTTAACTAAACGCAGATAATAAGTATCATTGTGCAGTTGTCGCGTAATTGTCTTGTTTATTTATAACGAGGGACGTCCAGTATAAGAGTCCAGGCAGCTGTCTGACCGCAGTCAACTCAATTGGCGACAGGGAGCGGTACACTATTCTAAATTGGTAATGGCATAAACGCCGCTGTCTGCCATTTATTATTCATCATACGCGGTACACGCTTGCATTACTTGTATCCGTCGTGCAAGAAGGTACCAATCAACTAATCAAGGTACCGCACCTCCTTTGTTTCTTACTCTGAAAATGTTTGAACATTGAAATCATTTCCGAGATTGGATATAAAATTGTTAGCGGTGACCGTACCGTTCCCCCGGTACCCGTTTAGTGATAACTCGTTATATTGTCACGCACTCTTGCACATTACCGGAGCGTGAATAAGTAGGATAAAATAGACAGGGTAAATAATACATGAACATATTTTGTACATTTCAGTAATAAATATCTGNTCAGATGTTGTCTAACAACACGTTATGTTGTCGAGGCTCACAACTTAAATAGTGCCCTAGTAAATATCTGCACAAAATGCGACGTTCACCACTGTGGAAATGTTTGACTGATTTATTGCAAAACTCTAGAAATATATTGCTGGACAGCTAGACAACTATTTAAAAAAATGTTAGGTGACTAATATTGTTTAAGCGTCTCTATAATAAACTGGAAAACAGCTTATCCGAAAGAGTAACTAAACATAATGCACACACGGCCCTACGCATGTTATTGTTATTATTAACAAATAGTTATTGACTGTGGTCACACCATTGTTTTATCCTTATGCATTTTTAACTCAGTCTTGAGAGTATAGCCAGCGTGTGCGCATCTATTTCAGGCAATATCAATCAGCGCACTCGGACAGGCATTATTAGGATTACATGTGGTGCATGCACGTTCGTGATTAGACGAGCGATGTTGTTGTTACGTATCCATGGAGTCAGGTCGCGCGCGTTACCGTGACGACTGTCCCCGGCTGCCGGCGCTGAGTCTCGGACTGTCCAGCGTCCGACGCATTGTCAACCAGATTGAGGCTGAATGCGCTCGTGTCGTTGCCACAGACGCTTTCGAAAGCAGCCGTGATCTCGTCAAGTACGACCCAAACATCGATGAAGGCTACGGCGATTACGACGACTTCCCTCTCGAAGCATCGAGAGGTCGAGTCTGGGCTCGCATCGCAGTAAATCTCGGGGTCGCCCTTAGCAGATGCATTCCTAGTGTATCCTTTGGGAATTTCGGTATCCTGGCCGTGACCATCGGACTGTTCGCCCCAAAGATGATCTCTTATTTGGTCGTATATCCATTTTGCAGATTGGTATTCGGGACCCTCTACCCGGCTTATGCTTCATATAAAGCTGTGCGGACGAAGAACTTGAAAGAATACGTAAGTTTAACACATTATTTACTTGTTTAAAAGCTGCATATTTTTATCTCTTTGTGTACAACTCGAATAATAGTGACTAATGTGCTTTGAAGGCTGATTAGAATGTTGTTGAAAAGTCAATTTGTTTAGGTTACTATACTGATATTGTCTATTACGAACAGCTTTTTTATATTATTTAGTCTGGTGTTATATTGTCCACAACCAAAGTGACCTTGTCACGGTTCGTGCTTAAAGCACTTATGCTGAGCACTGTTCGAAACGCTTCAGTTCTTGTTGTGTCCTTTACCTTGTTCCTGGCTTCCTATGCTTAATTACTAAAGCGTGATAATTATGATTTTTGAATCAGGTTTACATTGTGCAATATCCGAAGCACGAAGTGTTATTTCAATATAGTTTTGTTCATTGTTAATAAATAACATTGTTTACATTTAGCCAATGCGAAAATAATTTTCCTGTTACAGTTTTGCTCGTATGATTCTTCTAATTGGCAACGAATTATTGTTAATGCGGTATTTATTTTTAATTACAGGTAAAATGGATGATGTACTGGATAGTGTTTGCTCTGTTCTCGTGTACGGAGACGTTTACGGACGTGTTCCTGTCATGGTTCCCGTTCTACTACGAGGTGAAGATAGTTCTGGTGCTGTGGCTGTTGTCTCCAGCCACGAAGGGGTCTTCGATACTGTACAGGAAGTTTGTACACCCGGCGCTTTGCCGCAGGGAACAGGTAAGGACAATCGGCAAATATAAATAAAGTGACTCATACAAACAAAGACAATATTTGATAATGAACTCTGCAGAAAAACGAACGAAGTTAAAAAGAATACCTAATTGCGAACTTCCGTTCCTAATAGTATGTCTTTATTAAGATTGGAAAAGGTCATCCTCTAGTTTACTGGAATTTTTTGCCGGTTATCTGTAGTCTTTTGACTGCGACTGAGACAATTTAAGAGCGCGCCATTAGCAGCTCGACGACCCAATTGATATTGTAGCACGTGTCAAATACATCCTTGTATTCGATCCTATATTTCTAATTATCGAATCATATTCTAAGCCAACTATGTTTTTTAATCTTATCTAAATTTGTATTCTACGTTTTAACAAAATATGGAATTTTGAACCTAAAAACAGTAAACTAACGCTGATNTTCGTGCACCCGGCGCTTTGTCGCAGGGAACAGGTAAGGACAATCGGCAAATATAAATAAAGTGACTCATACAAACAAAGACAATCTATATAAAAGAAAGTCGTGTTAGTTACTTCGCTTATAACTCAAGAACGGCTGAACCGATTTAGCTGAAAATTGTCAGGGAGGTAGTTTAGAGCCAGGAGAAGGACATAGGATACTTTTTATATCGTTCGAAATAAAAAAAAAGTCTGCTTATTTATTGCCATTAAGGCGGAACAAAGTTCGCCGGGTCAGCTAGTATTTGATAAAGAACTCTACAGTAGAGCCCAAAATTTGTTGGCTGCGCAAATACCTACCTGCAAACTTCCGTTCCTAATAGTGTGTCTTTATTAAGATTGGAATAGGTCAACGTCTAGTTCAGTGGAATTTTTTGCCGGTTATCTGTAGTCTTTTGACTGCGACTGAGACAATTTAAGAGATCGCAATTGGCAGCTTGACTATTCAATTAATATCGCAGCACGTGTCAAATACATCCTTGTATTTGATCCTACGTTCTGATTTATCGAATCATATTCTAAGCCTAACTATGTTTTATAATCTTATCTAAATTTTTATTCTACGTTTTAACAAAATATGGAATTTTGAACCTAAAAACAGTAAACTGACGCTGATTTATTCTTTGTTTTCAGGAAATAGATGAGTACATAGCTAAAGCCAAAGATCAGGGTTACCACACGGTGCTCAACCTGGGCACCAAAGGCGTCAACTATGCCACCACCGTTATCATGCAAACAGCCATAAAGGTAAATATTCATTCTACCCATAAACGCATGCTTAACTTTGTAACTATCTAAATCTGAACCCTAACAAGATCTACGTTTGATGATTGACATTTTATTAGAACAATGCCTCCTCGTTTGTTTATCAATATTGTAAAATCCGAGTGCCATTCCTCGTCAGACATGACGAAAGATAATTCGCAACAAATAAGCATTACTAATAAATAGATAACAACCAATTATAATCTGGCACATAAAATGGTAACGTAGTATGTTTTGTTCAACGTCACAGGCAACTACGTATTTAATTTGATAGATATAATGATCTTCACACGAGGCACACAGAAAACGTAGATCTTTTTTGGGTTCAAATGAGCGAATATAAGGGTATCGGTGAACTTTAACCCTTAACAGAACAATCCAAGAGTTCAAGCAAAGTTCGGTAGATTTTTTGTTCGTCATGTTGTTTTCTTACCATTTATTTGTATACTTATTAGTTTTTGATTTTTAAATTTAAACAATGGTGTGGCATGCTTGATCACAGGACACGTTATGTAAATAACACAATCGTCAAAGTAGTAAACATTGGCTTACACGTGTGGTGCTAATTTGTGCACAGCTTCATATTACAGCGCTCTTATTGGCTTACAACAGAGCGACATCCACGAACACAGTCCGTCATCAGGCATGGCCACGTCATACTTTTATTTTTCCCTCACTCGACATCAATGTTTTTGTTACACCATTGCCGCTTAATTTAATGTTTCTTTTAATTTTATTAACACGCTTTTTTAATTTCTCCCCCTTCCTACCTATCATTCCCAATATCCTTTCCATCGCTGCTTCACGCAGAACTTCAATCTGCCGTCGCCCGAGCAAGACAATGAGGGAAGAGCTCGAAAAGCCATAAGGTCCCGTGACGTCACCGACGGCTACCAAGACACGTATGAAGATCTAGAATACCAGCGCTCCGATGATGCCAATTTGCCGGGAATAGTAGAGATTGTAGAGCTCGATAGCGACGAAGCTAACCGAGACTTCCTCGCTGGCGATGGTGACGCGAATGATCCCGACTATGAGCCAGCGACCAGCGCCGCTAGGAGTAGAGGAAATGTAGTCCGCAAACCCAAAGTTGTGAAAGAGAAAAGGCCGCGGAGCAAGTCTCGAGGCCGCCGAACCAGAAGCCAGGTGGCCGCGGACAAAGTATCGAACGAACTAAAGGTCGATTGACCGCAGCACAGCGACTGTCCCCGATCGAAACGCAACTGTGATTCCTAAATAACTTTTAGACAATGATTAGGCTAATCCGTAGCTTTTAATTTAACTTAAAACTTTATGTTATCATACATTATTCGGTTATTTTGTAACTGTTTACACAATGTTTTAGCCACTTTGATTGATCTCTTTCAGATCATTATAACAATGTATTTTTTTAAGCTTTTCAGTTGAACCAAATTAACGTGAGAAAGTCATGAAATTCTGGAAACGGGTGTTATGTTATTTATTTTTGTTTCCAAAATGCGCATTATCACACTTTTTATAGTTAGGTACTTGTATATTTTCTACAATGCATGACGTCATAATCTTAGTCCATTTTATGTGTTGCATGAATCTGAAACATCGACTCGTATGAACGTCGTTTAGTTTGTAATTCTAGAATGTGTGACTGAATTAGTTTTTATAATTTGATAATACATATCTTTAAAAATAAAAGCAGTTAAAATAAAGTGTATATTTTATTTGAAGTACATATTAGGAAAGCTTTCGCAAGTCAATGCTTAGAGAAAAATATAGAAGTTATCAATATACTATTACTGCATGCGCTTGCACAAAGCTTGTTACTAGGCACCCCAACAGACAATGCTACAGATTTTGTGTGAGTATTATTTTTTATTATTGTAACACTTATGTAACAACATAACCTTCTAATTTCTTAATTGTTTTCGCATTTTCATTTTAAAAATATATTTTTTTTAATTCTATAAATAAGTATATTCTATTATTTTGGCGATATAGGCACGATAATAAATAGAAATTTTGCTTGACATAAACTTTCATTTACTCGTAAACTTTACATTTATTGAAGTCCTCAGCCTAGGATAATATACACAAAACTTAATATTCAAGCACATTTGAAAATAAATTACGGTGTAGTTTTTAAAATCGTTTTAGATATCTTTTGTAACCGATTGTAGTGCCGAAACATACGCCCTTGCCAGGATAACACTTCGTCCTTTAATTTAAAATTAACAAAATCCAATTTGCCAGGGAGGCGGAGGCCTAGTTCAGCAGCTGCGCAAGAGTTACAGTCTGTCGGACTTGAGCGAATGTTCGCCGCACGACGAGCGGGGCAGCGACGAGGCCGATGATGTTCTGCCCGAACCTAGGCTCATTCGCCGGGGGACTAAGAGGTACGTCATCATCATCATCATCATTTCAGCCATAGGACGTCCACTGTGAATATAGGCCTCCCCCAATGATTTCCATGTTGACCGCTTGGTAGCGGCTTACGTACAGCGCTTTCCTGCTACCTTTATGATATCGGTCTACATTGTGGGTGGACGTCCCACGCTGCGTTTTCCGGTACGCTGCCCTTCACTCAAGAACCTACTGCCCCATCGACCGTCAGTTCTACGTACTATGTGTCCTGCCCATAGACACTTCAGCTTGCTAATCCGTCGGGCTATGTCAGCGACAGGTACGTACCTCACCATTATTAGTAACCGCGCTTGAGTCACATAAACGACAAAAGCCCAATAGTGTCGTTGCCAGACTGACCGAATCAATTGAGTAACGTGCGTGCGAAACCCGCGGCTGCTGGATTGCTGTGGTAAACCCACTCGTAACACAAGCACATTGAGGGGCTCATCATCGTCATCATCACTTCAGCTACAGGACGTCTTCTTTGAACATAGGGCTCCCTCAATGATTTCCATATTGCCCGATTGGTAGCGGCTTGCATTTAGTACCTTCCTGCTACCTTTACGAGGTCTTCCGTTCAGATTATAGGTGGACAGCGCTGTTATAGTACGCAGAACTGACGGCCGATGGGTTCAAGGTTCTGGAATACCGTACACGTACCGGAAATCCAAAAGGGGACAATAAATAAAAATTATGTACAGTCACATCAGACTATACATTTTTATTGCAAAATAGCACCTATGACAACGACATAAGATGCCGCCGTGTTTACCTTAATGTGCAGTCGTCTGTACATACTAATATTATTTTTAAAAACTTGCTTTAGGCTGGTTTTAGTGTCACGCGGACTGTCAGTGTGGATCGCTCCGCACAGCCGATCTGTATGAACTGCTAGGGAGCGGAGCGGTTCCTCCGGACCGCGTTACTCTAATACGCTCCCTAGAAGTTCATACAGATTGGCCGTGCGGAGCGGGTCCGCACCGGACGGTCCGCGTGACACTAAAACCAGCCTCAATTAGTCATTGTATAATAATGAGTATTGCTTCAATGAATACGTAGGTTAATATTGTTTGTTATAAAGTTCCAGTGGTTACAACACCCGCCGCAGCGCGTCGGAGTCCAACAGCCGCTCGCCAATGTACTTCCCAGAGGTGGACGTCGACGTGAGAACCGCGCGGGCGAGGACTGACGAACCTGACTTCAGGTATATCTGCTGGAATTATAAATCAAAAATCAATCAAAATCAAAAGTATATATTCAATTTAGACCACAAGTGGCACTTATGAACGTCAAAATATAGTAAATAAAAAAAAGGTAGCCCTTATGGGGCACTTTATATGTCTCCTTCTCCTACAACAAGGGATATAGATCGTTTCATCCACGAAGACGCGCCCCACCATTCTTCTGCTAATGTTTGAGTGTTATCATTACACGCTAAATTACACGCACACGCACACTACAATAATGACGCTCGGATTGCTCGGATCAAACTCCCCGCGCTTCCCTCGACCAAAAATTGGTGTGTCGCGTCTTCGTGGATGAAACGATCTATAACACCCACCGGTATCACACCTCTGCCAGGCCTGGCTCACTCCGCGCGGTACATCCGATAATTACCTATGGCGAAGCGCCCCGCCGGCGGGTTATATCAGTCGAGTGTCACGTGCGCGCCCGTCAGGAGGACGCTGGCGTGCGTTGTAGTATGATTATAATTCTATGATCGAAGTATTATTTAAAAATGGACATAAAGAGAAAGAAATATTGTGCGGCGTTCGGGTGTTTTAAATTCGCAAAGAAATCTACCGGATTTATCTTTTTTTTCGCTTCCCAGAGATGCTGAAAGGTATGTTGGCCATGTTCGTTCGTTCGTTCGTTTCAGCCAAATGACGACCGTTGGCCATGTAGGTAATCAATAATTCTTAGGATAGTATAGGAACCTAACCTACCATGACTACTGCTCAGAATTCGTTCGTTCGTTTCAGCCAAATGACGTCCACTGCTGGACAAAGGCCTCTCCCAAGGTTTTCCATAATTAATGCATACTTACCTACATACGTACCTCATTACAAATAGTAGATTAATTATTTTTTCACTAGACAGCAACCCTAACAGCGCAAGAAGAGTTCAGAGGCACGCGATAGAAAGAGACAAAACTTGTAGGTGAATAAAATTGTAGGTACGTAGTGCTGTGCGAGCTGAATTCCACTGTATCGCGTCGTAGCAAGACTCGCATTTATTTAAATCGTTTTGCGGAGTAATCCTTCTGTACCTGTACTATTACTTATTCTGTGCCTCTGCCACGAAACCATGTCTAGTAAATCGATTCACATTTTTGCGTTTTCTTCGAAGGGTTGTGTATAAAAATCGTTGCACTGTCATGGTTTTGCGATTGAGGTGTACCAGGAGGTTGGGTTTTTATTGGCGGTCAAGCTGTAGATCCTGGCTACACAGGAGTTGCAGTGATAGGAACGAGAGGTGGGAATAGTCCCGTAACTACCATGCGACCAAATGATTAATTTAAATAATTCAACATCTAAATACCAACTCGTTTTTAACTTCATATTTTATTATTGTTGCATTCAGTGGCCTTTGTTAAGGATATAGACTCGAATCGATAAGACTCGAAAATTATCCAATGGGTTGCTTTAATAAAAATTCGAGCAGATTAACTTTAAGGCTTTATTAAGCCCTTAGTATAAAGTTCAAAATCAATTCCTCATTTTTCCAACCACATCTGACAACAAACAACCCTATTTCTAGCCACATAAAGTCCAGCAAGGACATCACCTAGATTTACACCAGCGCCACAAAATATAACAGAAGGTAAACTCCATACTAAGCGCGCTCGAGCCACGCACACAGACACCGCTCACGTACGCGTTATCAAGACTGTCTTGGACGAATGCGAGGCGCGACTGCGTTCGCTTGAGTGACGCTGCTCACGCGTTTGTGAAATTATTTTGTTTGTGCGAAATTGAGTGAACAACAAAAAAGGGGTATTATAACATTTGTTAAGTAGATGGTTGCTTACACTCAACATTAAGAACTAAATTTTCGTTTTTTAAACTACCAGTTGATTCCGGGAGCTAAGTAAGGTATTTATTTGTATTTCAATAGTTCGTTTAACGTTGACAATTTGAAAGCCAACTCAATTATTAGGAATATCGAAGTGTTTTAAAGAGGTTTTAGGAATTGTTGGATAATAGTGTCGACCACCCAACTACATACTACTTCCTTCTCGTGTATTTGTTTGCAAACTATTACTATAATAACGTACTAAACATAACTACATAATTATACGTGGATATCTGTTATTATCTTTCTTCCATTGTATTAAAAGTTACATTTTTCTATCATAACGAAATAAATGCAACACATGACAAGACAACCCTAGCGCGACAGCCGAGCGCAGGTATGCAAAGCGAGGTACATACATGAGTTTACCTTCTGTTATATTTTGTGCCAGCGCAGACACACCGCCTCATAATACCAACTGTATTACACAACAATCGCCTCTATTTCCAGCCACATAAAGTCGAGCGAGGACATCAGCTCGGGCTACTCCAGCGCGGACACCTCTGCGTCCCTCTCTCGCACGGCGTCGCTCGGCGCCGGCGCACGCCGCCCGCGCGCCGCTCGCGCCGCCGTCACGCCCATCAAACGCCCGCAAGCCGCTGAGGTCTGCTAACTGAATACTTGTATACTCTACGAAACTGTATCATGTTGTGTACCGAGTGATTCGCCAGCCGGACTAGGATGCGCGCCGTGATAAAATCTTATCGATTATTTTAGACGACCTTGGCTTTATCGCATCGATAAAAGCTTATCGCGGTGCGCATCCTACCTAGGCCTGCAATTTTTTTAAATTTATTTTTCTCCAGAATTTGTAAGATTATTATTTAGCAGGATAGACTTATTATTGGAGAGGAAATAATCATAAAAAAGAAATTTCTCCGTCATCAAGTTTTTAATTAAAGACAAGCTAAGGTGCATTTCGCATCGTTGTTTTATTAATGCTCCTTCACTTTGGATTTTTTATTCGAAATCATTTATCACTCTGTACATAACAAACCTAGTTATGATTGACTGCGCTTGTCAAACCATTGTGTGTACCCTAGACATTATTTATCATTAAAAAGCTATTTTCAGTCACGTTGATGGCAGGTCTGATGACCCAATGACTAAGTAATGTTGTTACGGATGCGGTTCATACCATCATACATTAACATGCTAGCTCCTGAAGTCTTGTAACAACCTTTATCTATCCATATTAAATAAGACTGTATCAACAAACTTCTGCAAAACAAGTCCTTGATATCGTTGGTAATGTAGAAAGAGCTAATCCGCCTTGAATATATTTTCTAGGGATTTGTTTTTTTCTTAGATTACTAATACTGTCTTTTGTTCTACTTTTTTTATTAAGAAATATAGTGAAGTATTTTGGCAAAAACTATTATGGAGTAAACTATACAAATATGTAGCTATATTTATATGCGATATTCGAGTCTTATTTAACCTTGTTATTGATTGCATTCATCGTGATACTATGAAGACCTCGCGCTTTACTTGTAATAATATTAATATGATGTCTTCTTTATAAAACGAAGCCTAATGAGGTCTGCGGTTTGCTTCTGCGGCTGAAAATACGGATATTATACGGAAAATACGACAGGTTGTATTAAAGGCTATGTAACGTATTTTAAGTTAAAATTATTACCGAGTTTTACGAAGCAACTTGAAATATTTTAAAGGATTGGCAAACATAACATAATATTATTCGTTGGGACATACAGGAGATTAGTTTTGAAACGCACAACATAAAAATAATTACAATAAAAGTAATAAAATTATGTATTATTAACACCATTTTAACAAGTAAATAATGTCCGTCACTTTCCATTAAATCTGATTTAACTATGATGGAAAGGACAAAATATCAGTGTAATAGAATAGTCAGATCTTAAAAATAAGTGTGAATAAATAATCGATCAAATTATAGTTTGTCAGTTTTGTCACAAACTTCTCTAAATACTTAATGATAGTAAATATGTGTTAGGGCATAATGCATTTTAATATTAATGTTATATAAATGATTAAAAATTCAGTTACAAAGAACGATATAATGGAACGCAAACCGTTGGCGAAAACGTTTGGAGTTAGATGGATGTAGCAGGGTAGGAATGGTGCTGGAATTTGGTTTTAGGAACGGTTAACGAAAGGCTCTAATTTTGAATGTGAAACTTTTGGAATACATAGTAGGACTTACCTAATTAAATATTTAAAGGAAGATTTATCACTGGTGTGTCGAGATGTGCTCATAAATAAATGTTTACCTGAAAGTGTGCTTTAGCTTCTAATTTATATAAACTATCTATAGAAGTAAAAAGATGTATTAGGTTAAAATGTGTATAAAAATAATATCATTTGCATGTTTCCTTTACAAATCTAAATCTTTTCTACTGATCTTTCATTATTTTCATCTTGTGTATTGCTTTGAATACTTACATTTTAGTTATGTAGTCTTTTGTTTAAAATATTTATTATATCTTTAAGTCTGTTATTGCATTTATTAGTATGTACTCTTTTTCCGACGTTTGATATAGACTTAAGACCTTTTTATTTAAAGGAAAGCGAAGTAATCATCGAGGAGCTGTACGACGACGAATCCTTTGAATTTGCGAATATGCCCCCTCTAGTAAATCTTCCTTCTCCAATATTCTTATCCCAAACTGACCCTCCTTTCATATATCAATATGTTGGAGATCAGGTCAAAATAATTCAAGTTCTAGGTAGAGATTATCTTAATACAAGTTTTAGCAAAGACAATAGTGATAAAGATAACTGGGACCAAAAAGAATCAGCAGCTCAAGTAGCATCATATAAAAATCCCGATAATGACGAACAATCAAAAGAAGTTTTTTATGAGTCTGAAATGGATACCTTAGAAAATGAACAGTTACATATTATTCAAAAAGAAATCCATACGGAAGGCACTATTCAATTCAAAAGTGAGGACACTAATGACGATAAAATAAACATAACATCAAGCAGTGACGCCCAAGAGATCAATAAGGTAGATAATTCACAAGCGATTATCGTAGAAAAAGTTGATAATGTGCAAGCAGAAGATAATGTCAATAAAGTAGACGAACATATTGACACGACCAGTCTAGACACGTCCGTTAACGAAAACGACTCCGCCGAGAGTGACGACGAAGCCTCATTTGGTACCCCGGAAGATTCTCCTAAATCAAAAAGAAAGTCCCCTAAAGGAAAATATGGGAAAGCTAAAGCTCCCCCACCTCCTAAACTAGAAATGCCTAATATGCGAACTGAGCATGATAGTACAAATTTGGATAGCGCATTGAGTACAACTTCCATAGAGAGTTTAAATGATATAGTTAAGATGCTCCCTAACGAAACTTTAAAAGAAAACAGTGCATTTAAAGGTGGCCTTACGGTAATAAATCCTATAGCTGAAAAGAAACGACGACACAAGTCGAAGTCACCCGGCAGACTTCCAAAAAGTCAGGGCTCGGGAATAAGTAAATTATTGCAATTGCCTACCAAACTAGCATTCTGGCAAAAGTCTGAAGATAAACCGAAATCAGATTGTGTATCTACCTCATCTGAAAATCACAGCAGAAGATCTTCAACTAATGAGAAACAAGCAGAGGATTATCAAAGTTGCCTCAATATTGATGTAGATGATACAGCAAGTGAGAATGTTCTACCTCAAGCAGATATATCTGATGATCAAACGAGTTTTAAGGATGCATGTGACATTGATAGTGAAGTGATATCAAATGATATTATAGAAAAGAGTGATGCTTTGCAAAAGCTGATTGAAGCTAAAATAGAAAGTCACCCTGAATACAAATTTGTGTCTCTGCATGATGAAATACCGACTGCATCTAAAAGTACAGATGTATAAGAAGCCTTCCTTTAGTCCCCGAGTCCATTTAGCATTAGGAACCGGAGTTGAGCAGACCAGTATGTAGTACTATTATTTTTGTTGTGTTTTTATTTTTTGGCATGGTGTCGAATACTAATTTAGCTATACAACTATCTGTTCGTTAAAAGTACCATAAAATCCGTCAATATTTTAGCCAATTACTTGTATAAGTTAAAATATCTATGGCTAGAAATGTTCAAAACCTAGTGAATCATTAGGCCTTAGACATTATTGTGGCTCTTGTGAGGTCTGCAGTCTGCACCCTGCAGTTTTTTGACGTTGTGAAATGCTTTTCGCAGTTTTCTCATACCCTTGGCTTAAGGTTCGGCCAAACCAACGCGATCACACGCGAGCAGCCTGCGTGCAGCGATGGCAATCAATGCATTTAAGTCTGGTCGCCATCGCTGCACGCCGGCTGATCGCGTGTGATCGTGTTGGTTTGGCCGAACCTTTAAGGGGAGACCAGGGACTGACTGACTATATGGGACTCTCCCCGGATAACCTATGCATCCACGGCGTATCGCTGTGCCATCTACGGTTTGACCTGAATGAGCTATTCTCGACTTGGACTATGAACAAAATCGACTAACTAACGTGCGTTTAAATTATAGAATGAGGTTCAAAGCTACATTCAATTTCTAGCATAGATTGATGCTTTTGATTGATTTAAATTCAGTATTTAGGAGATCAGTCACAAAACAGAATTGAATCAAGTTTTGAGCATTATTTTGTAATAAGACTTAAAATATTGTAAGTGACTTAGCATTATATGTATTNACTTAGCATGCTATGTATTTTTTGTTTCTGTTTTATCACTTATGTTTTTATACATATTTGTTTATTGTTTGGTATTTATTGACGTAACCAGACTATCCTAAAATGTTCCTAAATGGACTAGCATGTAGCAAAACTTTATTTTTGTGTATGTATGTGTGTATTTTGGAGCTTACAAAAAAATAAATGTTAACCTGCAATTTTGAACTAAAACCCTATTAAAATTGCCACATAATGTGTTACATAATTTAGTTTGTGTCTTATATTAAAACCACAGTTAAAATACAGTATTTATCTAGTTGGCTGCTACAGCGTTTCAATATAAACGGTTCACTACAAGATGCATTAACTTCTTATGACTTAAAGTTATGTAACTAGAGTAAAAAGTCCTATACATATTGTATCTACAGATTAATGCATCTTGGATAAATACCAATAAGTGTCACTCACTATACATACCCTAATTGCTTATGCTTTTTATAATTAGTTTTCAATTTATTTCTTTTATTTCCAGGCAATGCTGTCGGCCTCTGCTACAATACCCCGCACAAAAAAAACGAATAAAAGGAAAACACAATAATTGTTTGACTGGAAACATTTCAATGTATGAAAATAATAGGGCTGATAATTCCCTATTTTTAATAAATTTATATGGCTGACTATGGGATGTTATGTAATCATTTTGTTGGTATTACATGCAGCATCTAACTCTAGCAAATATTTTGTCAGCTTTTTATTACTCTTAAATGATTTTACTATGGGAGCTAAGTATGGGAGTGTTTAGGGAGCGCTAGTCATGTAATGTAAAGCGTCGTTTTGAAAGAAAAAAAATGTTCGGCTCATTTGTTTTTCACTACTTCAGGCTTATTACAAGAATTTTGGTTGAAGTTTTGATCGCTCTATCTTCCACAATAGTACTTTTCCACGCCAACAGTAGTCAAGTCGTAAACTAGCGCAACCTTATCAAAAACACTATGCAATTCCTACCTACGTAATTAGTTCTTCCAAGCTTTTTAGTCTAGCTGTTAATGCGAAGTATTTTCGAAAAGACTTATGGGACACGTTTTTTAAAACTATTTAATAGTGTAACGCTCATTTATTCGTATAATATAATCGGTTATTTTTATGCGAGCCACGCGCATGCAAATAGCCTGTAGCTATATATATTGTCGCACTTTGTAAACTGGTGTATATTATTAGTGCAATATTTTAGGGGTAGCTATGAAACAAAAAACTTAGTTGTGTATGACATTTTATTATGTTAGGCGACAGCAAGATTTTATATTGGCGTTAGTGTCCAATAATACCTTTATTTGTTGATTTATCCCAAATTTGAAAATAATAATTATTAAGCATAAAATGCACAAAGGATTTTGATTAACGTGGATATCACATTATGAGAACACAATTCTCAAAAAACTTATTTGCTGTTTCTAGACAAAATTAAAAATAATAATTGTTGTAACGCGGCAACGCTATTTCGTAACGTTTGTAACGTTATCGCGCGCGAACAACGCAACGTTAGTGTTACCACGCCATCTCGTCTAATAGCGAATCACGCGGAAGTATGGTGCCGCGCCCTTTCCTCGGCCTATCGGCGCGAGGCAGTCCCCCCGCGCGTCTCGCGACTCACGCGGAAGTTCTAGAAGTTTCCTTCTTCCCGGTGCGCGACGCCAACGTGAACGGTCGATTTTTGAGCTAGCCTATGTTGAAATATGTAAATTCCTATAAATGTTTGCCACGAAGTTTGTTTAGTCGTAAGCTTAAGTTTCAATAAATGATTATTGTGAAACCACGATTAAAATGACGCCCAACTCGAGGCCTTAACCTACGAACAGTACCGGCAAAGTACCTACCGTGAGTGCAGCAACGTGTCGAAACCTGTTTTTACCGGCGTGAAAACAGTGCNAATTGTTTTATAATAAAGCAGCTACTTTTTGTTTTAAACAAAATTAATTATAATTTACTTCAAATTGGTGGCCTATAATTTTAGCCAAAATTTGCCAAATAAACATAAAAACGACTCAAACTATCTATGTAGTGAAATTATTTTCTAATTATTAGCGTTAGGTAAACTAGTCCATAATAATTTAATAGCTTCAATGAGGCTTTTCATATCTATGTCGGTTAGTTAATTAATAGGATCTTTTTGAAGGAATTACTATACCGGGGGCATAACAATATTCAAAGTTATTAGGTATCTTTTCACAAGAAAAGCTGATGTAATGTTTATATTTATTTATTTATGCTAACTATCACGATTAAATATCTCATTAATAAATGAAGTTGTTTCTTGTTTTTTAATATTGTGATATTGCCCAGTATTTGTGATAGAGTTACCAAACACTGACTTGCATGGAATGTTATCATCATTACCAATAATTTTATAAATAAATCTCTAGCTAACTGTAATGCAGTTTATAAAATGTTACAAAATAAATAATTAATAATATTATGTATGTAATTTGTAATTAATTGTATAGATAGAATTTCATCATGACATGTTAATGGTTCCTCCTGTTAAATGTTATTTTATGTATTATTTATTTTTAAATTTTGTGTTAGTGTGCTTATTCTGACAAGTTACCTACATGAGAAAATCAGTGTATCATCTCCAGTACCTCTAGTAGGAAAAACTTTCGAGTTCGTTTCGTTGCGTATTCAAAGTGTCATCGAAAAATTTTGTATGAAAAATTAAACAGCGCCCCCTATATTATAGCCGCCCTAGGGGGCGCTGTTTAATTTTTCATTCAAAATTTTTCGATGACACTTTGAATACGCAACGAAACGAACTCGAAAGTTTTTCCTACTAGAGGTACAGGTTTTCGAAGTTCGCCTGTTTTCTAATTTTGTTACCCACTTTTTGGGCTCGATTCTGTGGTATACTTCACAAAGCCACCGTATTTTATATTTCATAAGCTATGAGAGCTAAAAGGAAACAAAGACTGCAAAAGTAATACAAAATTGGTTTAGTGGATGATACCAGAATTGAGCATGAATATTTTTATGTATCTTACCTATGCAAAATTGTGTGACTATTTTATGGAATTTATGTTTGAAATAAATTACAATTGAATGGTACTTTAATTTTTATTTCTTCAATTTAACATAAAAGTACATACACAGAACATAATAATATTACATTATTCCACCTGCTCTCAACCGCAGAGTATCAAAGATGTATTTGCCATGATCACTTTTATACTCATTATCCAGTAGTTGCTGTTCTAATAAATTTAAAGATTTTCCATCCCATGATTTAATCCAATATAACAATGAAAATAATTTAAAGTAAATAGATGTATCATTATCTGCATCAGATATAACAATTTTAGGTAGATTTTGAATAATTTTAGTCAAATTAGGTTTTGTCACTTTACAAAATATGTCATTATTTCTAACTGCAAATATTTGCAGAATATTGACTGTTTGTGTAGTTACGGATTTTTCCAATAAAATGTTCGGTAAATTTTTCAACCATCTTTCAAAAGATTCACTTGTGTGAAAATCTTTTAGCCAATCATTCAAAGCAATTTTGCATAATAATGAGAAAATCTTTTGTTTGAATGAATTATCAATATTTTCATTAAAATATTCCCTGATTATTTTTTGGAATATTGGAATCATGACAGTTGATCCTTTAGTCCAATTGTTTTGCTTTGAGAATATGGTATCCAGTACATTTATGATTGTGCTAATAGTATCATCTTGGGCAGTATGACTGAATGCTTTCTCAAGATAGTTTAGAACTGAATTGATTTCTTTTGCCTGATTCTTAACATTAACATTTGAATTGAGTTTAATGTATAAGTGACAAATTTTTAGATTTTCCTGAACTAATTTTGGATCTGTTATCAGATCTTCAAAAACAGAGTCATCAGATTTTTTATGTTTCATCCTCATATTGGTCACATAAGGGAATGATGTTACAAAATGTTGACTGAATGATTGCTTGTATTTTTGGTTAAATATACTCCCAATGTCTGAACTTGGATTCTTGATAGCTTGATATTGAACTAAATCAAATAGGAGAGAAATTACATCCAGTGAATGTTTTAGTAGTGCAGCTGCATCCTCATTGATGACAGTTTCAATATTCATTCCTGATGAAGTCTTTGGGCACACTTCCAGCCAAGTTTCATAAAGCAGAGGCATCAAAGTATTAACATAATGTTTAAAGTTTTCCACTTCATCCAAGGGTGCCACATCTTGCGAGTTTTTAGAAGAAAAGCATGATACACTACAAACAGATGTGTATACCGGGTTGAATAAAGAGTAGATGTTCATCTTTGACTCATCAAATTTTTGAGCAGGTTTTGAACTAGGTTTCTCCTTAGTTTGCACTTGGTTCAGATTGATATATTTAGAAAGATAATCCTTCAATCTATGTAAGACTTTGACCCTCCATTTCACACTTGTTATTTGACTGCCTAAGTTTACAGTTAATGTTCGACCTGGTTTGGAATCTATTCTTAACTTGGATATCATATCCAAAAAGTTTGGTAATATTTTGTGAAAGTATTGGACTACTTTTTCAGGTGTACAAACAAGCAGAAGGTCTAAAAATAGCAAAGAGTCTTCTTGGATTCTAGTGTCGATGTGAGTCATAGCACTCCTTAAATAGGTGGCCATTATGTCAAAGAAGGGGTCCAACTTCTGGATTTCAACATTTGATAAAACTAATTGAAGGACTTTGAGAGTCTCGTGTCTAACCTGAAAATTTTAATAACATTAGAATTTCATGATTAAAGAAAAAAACAGTTACACGACATTTATGTAGATCTAATGATCCGTTTTAATTACATACCACTTTTTCGACGTTTAACACCAAGGGAGTTACAGCCAAAATTATTTGTCCAAGATTTTGATCTAATATATCAGCATGTGTTATTATATCTTTGATACCATCCAGGGCTTCAGTGCGAGACTTAGTATTGAAATGGTTAAGCCGAGACAAGAGATCCTTTAAATTAAGCTTTTTAGACGATAATACCTCATTAGTTCCCCGTTTCTTCAACTGTTCTTTGATAACAATTTTTTTAACTTTGAAATTCGTTTTGGTTACATTTGTACCTTTGGGTAAATCTTTCTTCTTGGATTTTAATTTAGTTTTCGACTTCTCAGATTTAAGGAACTTTTGGTGGCGCGTGGCACCAGTTTGGGGCATTTTGGGAAGCTTTTCAATACATTTATGTTTATAAAAATCACTTCATAACCTCTCTCTTTGCAGTGCTTTGCAGGTTGCTGCATAGAGAAAAGTAATACATAGGAAATAGAGAACCCTCTCTGTCAAATTTTTGAACCTACTTATTGACAGCCTGGTGTTAAATTCCCTGTACTTAACCTACGTACGTAACGCTCACATACATACATAGTCCACGCACACATGCATACATAAAGTCCACGCACACATACACACAGTTCACGCACACATAGGCCATCATAACCTTCAAAGAATTATTGTTTTTTTGATGTACAATGTAGATTTTTTTCAAATCCATTAATTTGAAAACATTTATCTTTATGGTGTACGTATTGTATTATTTTCAAAACAATGGATTTGGAAAAATTCTACATTGCACATGGAAATGCAAATAAACAAAAACTTTTCAATTTAATAATTTTACTTTATTTATGAACACACATAATATTATACACCAAAAGCGTCTTTTCGCAAAGTTTTCAACAACACTAAAAAGCATTTGCACATTGAGAAAACTCAGATCACTTGTGAACATAACAGAAAGTTTCTTCGCGATTCACGAAGGAACGAACAAAACTCCGATGAACCAGAACAGCAGCAGGTACGAAGGAATGAACTTGAATTTGACTCGACTCTTCAATACTTTAATAGGGCCACAGAACTCATAAACGATGGCTAAGAAAACAAGAATGCATTCAACCTAACAAAAACAACACCGGCCATTTTGGAGGAAAAACAAAGTTGCCATATGTTAAATAGTAATTTCTACTACTCTATTATGTAAATTATAACAAAAATGTCACCATTCAGTTTTAAATTAAAACAAATTAGTTTCATTTTAAAAAAAAGTTTTCACATTGTAATTAACAATATTCTGAAATATATTTTAATTAAGAAAAAAATGAAAATATGAAGGAAACAGGAGCAGCGACATCTAGAGCGTTTTAGGGTAGTTAAAAAGTATTGGAATTTATCGGCTGAAGTCGCTGTTTGGAAGCAAGTTTCACTTGGATGATCGTAGTATGGAAGTTTCCGCACCCTGGGTTGCTGCCTGCATAGAGAAAAGTATAGTTCCAAAATACTGAACTGTCCTATGCATGACATTGACAGTGGGGCGCCACTGTCAATACCGGATCGCTGGTTCCGATTTTTGCCATGTTGGAAACCATATAGTTGAACGATGGTAGCGCCCCCCTGTCATTGAGTTTGGTGGGACAGTTCAGCGACAGCTGCCTGTGCCTGCCTGCACGTCAACAACGTCAAAGAGAATACAAAATATGTCAAAGAATTTTCCGTTATACGCATTTATCTGTCAATCGAAAATAAACTAAAAATAATATTTTTATTTAAATTTTATAACTTAAAATGCATTGAAATAAGTATGTAATAATTTTATTATGGGTTTAAATTAAAGATAATTCAGTGTGTTTGTTTGTTATAATATAATTATAAATAATGATAACTCAATTATACAATGCGTAAAATGAAATATCTTTTTCCTCTTTACTTTAGTGATTGACATCTTAAGTCGTAATCTGTAAATCGATTGATGAATTTCGCGATAAAGAAAACAGCCGTGTAAGGTCAGGTGTATAAAACTGTGGTACAAATCAAACCATTATCATTAGATGGAAATTATCTGCCCCCTAGACAAAACGCACTTTTTGATCGAATCGAAAATAGAATCCGTCAAAACTCCATACAAAAAAGAGGCTTTTCAACCACTTTTCGACTGGTTTGCGATTATAATTTGCACTTTGTCTAGACCCACAGAACTTAATTCCTAAACTTGCTTCAAGCAAGCACTAAAAAAGAGATTTCGTTTCACGCATCGTCTATATGAGTTATCATTATTTTTAATTGTGTTATAACAAACAATTAAACACACTGAATTATCTTAAATTTGGCCCTATAATAATCAATAAATTATTACACACAATTTTTCAATACATGATTAAATTACAAAATTTAAGTGAAAATATTATTTTTAATTTATTTTCGTTTGATCGTTAAATGCGTATAACGGAAAATTGGTCTCTGACATTTGTATTCTCTTTGACGTTGACGTGCACGTGCTCTGTGGTGCAGGCAGCAACTGCAAAAAGAAGAGAGGTTATGAAGTGATCTTTAAACTTATATGTATTGAAAAGCTTTCCAAAATGCCCCAATCTGGTGCTACGCGCCACCAAAAGTTCCTTAAATGTGAGAAGTCGAAAACTAAATTAAAATCCAAGAAGAAAGATTTACCCAAAGGTACAAATGTAACCAAAACGAATTTCAAAGTTAAAAAAATTGTTATCAAAGAACAGTTGAAGAAACGGGGAACTAATGAGGTATTATCGTCTAAAAAGCTTAATTTAAAGGATCTCTTGTCTCGGCTTAACCATTTCAATACTAAGTCTCGCGCTGAAGCCCTGGATGGTATCAAAGAGATAATAACACATGCTGATATATTAGATCAAAATCTTGGACAAATAATTTTGGCTGTAACTCCCTTGGTGTTAAACGTCGAAAAAGTGGTATGTAATTAAAACGTATCATAAGATCTACAAAAATGTCGTGTAACTGTTTTTTTTCTTTAATCATGAAATTCTAATGTTATTAAAATTTTCAGGTTAGACACGAGACTCTCAAAGTCCTTCAATTAGTTTTATCAAATGTTGAAATCCAGAAGTTGGACCCCTTCTTTGACATAATGGCCACCTATTTAAGGAGTGCTATGACTCACATCGACACTAGAATCCAAGAAGACTCTTTGCTATTTTTAGACCTTCTGCTTGTTTGTACACCTGAAAAAGTTGTCCAATACTTTCACAAAATATTACCAAACTTTTTGGATATGATATCCAAGTTAAGAATAGATTCCAAACCGGGTCGAACATTAACTGTAAACTTGGGCAGTCAAATAACAAGTGTGAAATGGAGGGTCAAAGTCTTACATAGATTGAAGGATTATCTTTCTAAATATATCAATCTGAACCAAGTGCAAACTAAGGAGAAACCTAGTTCAAAACCTGCTCAAAAATTTGATGAGTCAAAGATGAACATCTACTCTTTATTCAACCCGGTATACACATCTGTTTGTAGTGTATCATGCTTTTCTTCTAAAAACTCACAAGATGTGGCACCCTTGGATGAAGTGGAAAACTTTAAACATTATGTTAATACTTTGATGCCTCTGCTTTATGAAACTTGGCTGGAAGTGTGCCCAAAGACTTCATCAGGAATGAATATTGAAACTGTCATCAACGAGGATGCAGCTACACTCAGGGCCGTCTTTAACCTACTAGGGGCCCTGGGCACTTCAGGATCAACGGGGCCCTTTTCATCTTGAAAAAGGTTTTCTTTGAGAGCAGACGGGGGCAATGGCGGCGTAGCATGGGTTGGCACCCGGAATGATCACCATGCTTGGCACCCGGGGCAGACCGCCCCCACCGGAATGTTATCATAATTACCAATAATTTTATAAATAAACTAGCTTTCCGCCCGCGGCTTCGCCCGCGTGGAATTTTGTCTGTCACAGAAAAACTTTATCACGCGCGTCCCTGTTTCAAAAACCGGGATAAAAACTATCCTATGTTCTTTCCCGGGATTCAAACTATCTCTATGCCAAATTTCATCAAAATCGGTTGCGAGGTTTAAGCGGGAAAGCGTAACAGACAGACAGACTGACAGACAGACAGACAGACAGACAGACAGAGTTACTTTCGCATTTATAATATTAGTTGGGATCTCTAGCTAACTGTATGTAATGCAGTTTATAAAATGTTACAAAATAAATAATTAATAATATTATGTATGTAATTTGTAATTAATTGTATAGATAGAATTTCATCATGACATGTTAATGGTTCCTCCTGTTAAATGTTATTTTATGTATTATTTATTTTTAAATTTTGTGTTAGTGTGCTTATTCTGACAAGTTACCTACATGAGAAAATCAGTGTACCATCTCCAGGTTTTCGAAGTTCGCCTGTTTTCTAATTTTGTTACCCACTTTTTGGGCTCGATTCTGTGGTATATTTCACAAAGCCATCGTATTTTATATTTCATAAGCTATGAGAGCCAAAAGGAAACAAAGACTGCAAAAGGAATACAAAATTGGTTTAGAGGATGATACCAGAATTGAGCATGAATATTTTTTTATAGCTTACCTATGCAAAATTGTGTGACTATTTTATGGAATCTAAGTTTGAAATAAATTACAATTGAATGGTACTTTAATTCTTATTTCTTCAATTTAACATAAAAGTACATACACAGAACATAATAATATTACATTATTCCACCTGCTCTCAACCGCAGAGTATCAAAGATGTATGTATTTGCCATGATCACTTTTATACTACTCATTATCCAATAGTTTTGGTTCTAATAAATTTAAAGATTTTCCATCCCATATAACAATGAAAATAATTTAAAGTAAATAGATGGATCATTAAGTTTAAGACTACCCTTGCCGCTCCCATACATCAGAGCCCCGATTACGGTAATTTTTAACGTCAACAATCCAGACACGCTTCTCGATTCTGCGATACGATTGGTCGTTCAACAGCGTACGTCAGCTGTTTTGACCAATCGTATCGCAGAATCAGAAACGCGTCTGGATTGTAGACGTTATAAAAGTTACCGTAATCGGGGCTCAGGCACTGATTTAGTTTACGCGCTAGACCTATATTGGTGTTAGCGAGTGAACAAAATGGATCGGCTCGACTAAATGATTAATGCCCATTTTTTATATTCAATTCTTGTCCAAATCCCGATTTCAATTTAATTTAGTTTTAGATTAAATATCCACAATTTTAGGTGCGTTTACACTTTAATATTATTTAAATGTCTTATAAACAATATGAAAATTAATGTAAAAATATCGAAAACCGCAGATATTTTTGAACAAAAACATAAATAAAAAAGTTATCAAATCAAAAACTTTCTTTTTGAAAAGCTTTATTTGGATTTGGATTAGAATTGAATATAGGAAACCAGTCTTAGTAATCTGCTACCCTGGCCAGTTATAATTTTGAATTTTTTAATGGACTATTTTTGTGGGCTTTTGACACCCTTACCCTTAAAACTTGTAAACAACATCGTATAGTTCCAAAATACTGAACTGTCCTATGCATGACATTGACAGTGGGGCGCCACCGTCAATCCCGGATCGCTAGTTCCGATTTTTGCCATGTTGGAAACCATATAGTTGAACGATGGTAGCGCCCCCCTGTCATTGAGTTTGGTGGGACAGTTCAGCGTGGGTCATCTATAGTCGGATTAATTATTCGATTATGTTCTAAGACGGGAAACTGGAACTCACTTGTAATGTCACTGTCAGTCATGTCATAAATGTCATAATTTTTTGACACTTTAAAAAAATACCCAAGTTGCGCACGTGTTTACTTGTTTCTGATAGTGAAATTAGTGATTTTTGTTTGATAACTGGTGGTACAATAGCAATACAAAATGAAAATAAAGAAACAACACCGCAGGAAAAAATACCTACATCATCTTAACCGTAAGCGAATGAGTAAAAATCAAAGTAGTACTGGCACAGTTCTATGGTAAATAGTATTGAATTTTCATTGGTACCATCTATGTTTGTAACTCAGAATACAGAACAATTCTGTTCTATATTCTAAGGTTTGTAATCAATTGAAAATAATTTTATAGTAATGTTGATTTCAACTTTTCAGCAAAGTAATGAAAGATGAATGGGACCACAAAAAGTCGACTCTCCGAAATCTCACAGAAATGGGCTTAGCAAATGATCCAAACCAGGTTATAAAAATTCCTAGTTTTAAAAAGGAACAGTTGAAAAGGGCAAAGAAAATGGTAAATGACGATGAGTCTGCTGAAAGTGAAGAGGAGACAATAGAAGTAGTTCCTAAGATTGAAGTTGTAAATAAACTGGAACTAGAAGCAAAAGCGCCCCGTGAAAGAAAGTTTAAGTAAGTCTGATGTTACCAAACTGTTTTTTACAAATAAATCTGTGAGTTAAAAGAGATTCTAGTGGTAGTCTTTTGTGCTGAGATCTTTAGTATAAAATTAATAACATATAACATTTTTATTTTACAGGTTACCAAAAGGACAAGTTGAATTTATAACATATCTTCTAGACAAATATGGGCATGATTATAAAGCTATGGCCAGAGATAAGAAAAATTACTATCAAGAAACATGGAAACAATTAAGGGCCAAAGTTAAAACCTTCATGGGGATTCCAAAGCAGTACGGAGAATACTTAAAGACCAGAGGATTGCTGGAAAAAGAAGAAGATGAGGAAGAAATTAAAAAACAAGCCCAAGCATTAGTTATGGATGATAGTGATTAAGATCGTTTTATTATTGAATTTGTGAATATGAAGTTATTCAGATGTGAATAAATAAATTATACATAAACATTTAGTACTTTTGCTTAACACAAATGTTCAACTTTGCTATTGAGTGTCGGCATGTCATAGAACACTTGAAAGTCATTAACTACAATCCTTATTGCAGAATTCATAAGAAAGCTGTGTTGGTTGAAAAACTACTTTAAAAATTAAAACCAAACTTTATAAAACAAGTTTATACTTTATTGAACTTTATATTCACTGTGTTTTACAATCACTAGGAACATCTTTGATAGGTTTCACTTTCTTCAATTCTTCATACCATTCCTTCTCCATTTCAAGCAATGGTTGTGGCTTCTTGTACTGAAAAATAAAAGGTATAATCAGTGGCGGATTTACCAGCAGGCAGAATAGGCTGAAGCCTAGGGTGGCAAATTTTAAGGGGCGGCAGGTTTAGTTCATAACTATTTTTTACATACACAAAGTAGGTCGGATGCCAATATATCTATATTCGCCAGGCCAGGCTAATAAGATCCAACACGACTACGTTTTGGGCAGTTAGGCAGCCTCTATTTTACGAAATTTACTTACCATTATAATCAGAGTATGGAACTGGTGGCTGGATTGGATATTCGCTTGTTCCAATTTCAAGCCAAGTCTGTCGAGTTCTGGAACCTGTAGTTTTTTGAAGTACTTCTTGTTAGTTGTGCGTACTATTATGCATCTTTCATCATTGTTAGCGCTTATAGAATAAGTTTCAATAGGGTATGGCAAGTTTCTTATTCTCCATTCCAAATTCACCCTTGTGTTTCTTCTTGAGACTATTGGCTGTTGAATAAATTAAATAGTAAGAATAACTGGAGCCTAATAATTAAACGAAAATATGACTTGGGCAACGTAACAGATTTTAATGCCAAGGGGGTGTATGAGAGAGTGAGAGCCCATATTTTATAATTTTCTTTCTTATATTAAAACAAAAAGGGAAGATTATAACATCACAACAAAAAACTTACACTATTTTACATTTTACTTCTTACCTGATCTTTGCTTTCAACTATATCTACCATTTCTATGCTTTGAGTAGGTTCAGGAATGGGGTCCCCAATCTCAACCACCCACTTGCCATCCCCCCCTAATTTCCCCTTCAGTTTCCAAGCTCTGCGCAGTAAAACCTGAGTATCTACATTGTACTCTTCAACCATTTCCTTGTCATCATCAAACTTGTAATGTATCTTTTTTATCTTATCCTCCTTCAAGCAGGACTTCTCTGCGTCTAACAAGGACCTGTACCATACTGTGTTTTTGTACATTTCACTCTTTCTATAAAGTTTTGATAAATTAGCCTTTAGTTTCTCCTCAAAGCTCTCTTGGTTGTTGGCGTCAGTTTCGATCCAACTTGATCTTCTTTTCATTTCGTTTCTATGGAAACAAGATTGTAATTTAACGAAGGGTTACCTAGTTTGCCATTTGTTCTGAAATTCTCTGTAATAATAAAGTTAATTTATTGATATTAGTAAGATATTTACACTATCCAAATCATTGTACTTACCGCATACAAAATGAATAATTTGATAAATGTCTAGTTAAGAATAATTAAGGCACTATTAAAATAAGTTAATTTTAACTGAGGCTTTTTTAACCTGACGTTAAAAATACAGAGCAAAAATGTAAATAAAATGCAGTTTTGTTTGCAGTACATGCACAATGCACACTTTCAAAGTATAGATGACCCACGCTGAACTGTCCCGCCAAACTCAATGACAGGGGGGCGCTACCATCGTTCAATTATATGGTTTCCAACATGGCAAAAATCTGAACCAGCGATCCGGTATTGACGGTGGCGCCCCACTGTCAATGTCATCGACAGGACAGTCCAGTATTTTGGAACTATAGTTTCATTTCACAAACGTCATTAACGTCAAATTTTACGATAGACCAGACAAGACACAACCATGAAGCTAAAGATAAAAATGGAGGCCAAACTTGGAACAACAACTTGAGTCAAATACCTACTTATCTCTATCTCGCTCTCTGTGGGCCGATCTCTCTTTTTATGTGGACTGTAGTATTGCTATCTCCTTATTGAAATCTCCTAGTAAATTCTTCGAAACAGCCAATGAGGATCAGTACTGTTGTAGAAAATTCAATAAAACTAGTATCTACGTTAATTTTTAAAACATAAGACAGACAAATCTTTTTGGATTATCCAAATCGGACCATTACTTACGAAGATATTAAGTAATAAACATAGGCCGTTTTTGCCTCTAAAAGACAACGTACGCAGGGCCGCGTGACGTCACTATATCCGAATCGAGCGCAGCCGGCGTACTATTGGGATGGAAAATATTTTTTTCCAGCTAAACTATCAGTTTTAGAAAAAAACTTTTAATAACATTTATTCATCAAAATAAAGTAACCTATCGACCAGTAATTTTTAAAAATAAAAATTGTGAAAAATAAGTATCGCTATGTCCAAAAACAACATTTTTATAAGATTCGATGGAATGCGGAGACGCGGTTGGGGTGAGTGTAACTTTATGATTGTTTGTATTGAACATAATAATACATAATATGAGTGCTAATANAGTAAGTACGGTTCCTTGAGATCGGTATGAGTGCACCACATACAGGGACCATGGTTTTAACTCTTAAGAGTACATCGCAGGATATGTATTAAAAACAATGCTACTTTATACTTCTTCCACTGCTACTTTATTCTAATTAATTATTTGTTACTTGTGCTGTTAATTACAATTCTCAATCCGTAAATAATTTCTTCTTTCTACCGTGTTCGTACTACTGTCCTCGTAAAATCATCGTAACCGATTGTTGTAATCGGATTACATGAACATCACTCGACCATTGTGACATATCGGCGTGCCATTCCGATATGTCCATTTGGACATATCGGAATGGCACGCTTTGACGATCAACTTGCTGTATCTACTCTAATCCATATCTGTGCTTTCAAAGTTGTTTCACAAACGTCATTAACGTCAAATTTTACGATAGACAGACACAACCAACCACAGATATGGATAGATGCAGCATGTNAATCACCACCATCGGAGTGGCCTCTCACATCCTTTTCTCCGACTGAATGTACGGATTTACCTGAACATAAGGCTAGCACATTTACTGCTTCTTCTGTCCAACGTACAGTCCCAGTGTTATATGAATTAGCACAACGCATTTCTGTCTGGGATAAGTTGCTTAAGACTGTGTCGTATATTTTACGCTTCCTTAAAAGAGTTCCGCTTGATGGAGGCATCAATAATTTGATCATCGCGGAGAAGTATGTTGTACGCGCTGTACAAGCTGTACATTTCGCAGAAGAACTAGCCCTTCTTCGAAATAATAAACTCCCGTCAAAAAAGCTGCGTAATTTGGCAGTCTTCATTGATGAAGAAGGTATCCTGCGCGTCGGTGGGCGTCTTTCCAAATCTGATTTACCATTTGAAGTTAGACATCCAGTCCTTCTCCCTAAACGCGATCATGTAGTTAACTTGATAATTAGGCATTACCACGTTTTGAATTGCCACGCAGGTCCTGGGTTATTAATGTCTATTTTACGCCAGCGCTTCTGGATTCTAGACTCTAGGACTACAGTTAGATGCAACTTTAGGAAGTGCAATTCGTGTTTTCGAGTCAATCCTGCTCACCCGACTCCAAGAATGGCTGACCTACCTTCATACAGAGTGCAAGAGAACAAAGCATTTGTACACACCGGAGTAGATTATGCCGGTCCCATCCGCATTACTCTTTCTCGTCGCAGAGGTCAGCATGCTCAAAAGGCTTATATTTGCCTATTTGTATGCTTAGTTACAAAGGCTATACATATAGAATTAGTGTCGGATTTATCTTCAGACACCTACTTAGCCGCGTTTAAGCGTTTTATTTCGCGCCGCGGTCCAGTTTCCTGTTTATATTCGGACAACGGCACGAATTTCGTCGGTGCAAAGGCTCAATTAGACGAATTTAATTCCGCATTGAAAGGTGAACTTGCTCGCCACCGCATTGACTGGAAGATGATTCCACCGCGTGCTCCACATTTCGGCGCAATGTGGGAGTCTAATGTTAAGACTCTGAAAACACATTTATATAGGGTGATTGGTAATCAGTTGCTCAGTTACGAAGAGTTACAAACAGTTTTAATTCAGATCGAATGTGTCATGAATTCACGCCCATTAAATGTCATCTCGGCAGATCCTCATCCAGAGGTAATTACACCAGCGCATTTTCTCATGTCGAATCCTCTTCAGTCTCTTCCCGCTGCTGATTTAACGGATGTCAGGCTAAATTTAGTGCAGCGTAAGCGACTGTTGGACAATATGATCCTCTCGTTTTGGAAAAAATGGCGCCTGGAGTACTTGCACACGTTGCAAGTCAGACAGAAATGGGCTACTCATGACAACCCTGTCAAGGTAGGCACGGTTGTACTTTTAGGTCAAGACGATAGTCCGCCACTTAATTGGCCTTTAGGGGTTATCACCGAGGTGTACCCTGGTACAGATGGTGTCACTCGCGTAGCGATGGTTAGGACCAAATATGGTAACTTTAAACGTCCTGTCGTGAAGTTGTACCCAGTACCTACGCAATAATATATTTTACTTAACGCATTTAATTGTTTATTGTTAAGTTATTAGACTCGAGGTCTGAGTTCTTTTGATTTATTTATTTTTTCTTTGAATTTACACCGTTGCATTGCAAGGATCGCAACGTATTAAGTTCACATTAGTAAGTTTTTTGAAAGTTTCTGCGAACTTCCAAGGCGGGGAGTATGGTTACGCAGATGTACGCTCAACTTTAGTTTATTTTTAATTCCCAAATAGTTTTGTCTGCAGGTAGAAAACTGTTTGGTTTCCACATCTCTGTGGTCATTCTTGGCGTTTCTGAACGTCAAGCTTTGACACACTTCACCGTAAAACTTTAAACGCATCGCACATCTTCGCAGTCTCGCGAGTGAAAAAACCGCACTTTTATCTCCCGCAAACCGCATCATAACGCACAACGCATACGCAGCAAACGCATCTCCGCATTCAAAGCCCAAATTGCTCGTGACCTGAACCCCCTGCAGGGGAAGTGAAGCCGATCCATCTTCATCCCGGAGTGTCCCGGTGCCAGCAGTGGTCGAGCTGACGGAAGGGGACCCGAGATTGGCTCAGAGATCTCGCGCAGCCAACATGCGTGCTAGAATCAGACTTCGGGTTCAAAATCAACTGTGCCTTCAAAAAGTCTGGCCTCTTCAGGGTACGGAACCTTGGGGGACTTAAAGCACATGCCAGTTTAGGGTTCAGCCTCGGTGATGAGCTGGGCTTTGAGCAGTCCCTCACAAACTTGGACCCCAGCAGACGGAGATCTGTCAGCGTCAGGAATGGAGCGCCACCAAATATCATCGACTCGTCACCGCGACCGGCGGCTAAGCAAGAGAAACGCGGCAAGCAGAACAGAATAATGATGCGACCGATGGCGCCGGTAGCAGCGCGACCCAACCAAGCCGCGATGGATAAGCTCAGTTCTCTACACCAAAGGGTTTCCACCACCATGCAGCCCATCGTCGTCCAAAGCACAGCTGACACTTCAAACCACCCACGAGCTAGTCCAACTGTCACCATGGCCAAACCCATGCCAATGGGAGTACCACCTTTCAAGCCCCTCCCGCCAAAAGAAGAAACTCTGAAGGTGGTCCCAATATCGTCGACGAAGACCACCTACACGCCACACCATGTGGCAACATCGGCCCATTCCGGCCCATCATGGCGGTTGTTTACTATTTTGTTTATTAGGCAGTTAATTTCGTTTGAGATTTTTTACAAGACAAAATCATTGTTTTATCAAAAGAAATGGTGCAAAATTTTGTAGTGCGTGGTTGCGGTAGTACGTGGTGTCCTGGAAGTGACTTAAGATTCCACGCGTAAGTGTTTATTTCGTGATTTCCGACATTGGATCATTTGTAAACATTTTTCACAGTAATTTCTTCCTAAAACGTTTTACTAGTATTTACACTTATGATACCTATGTCAAGAAATAAAGATTTTACATTGAATTTCATTGACTTTGAGCAAATTTATATTTTTTGTTTATTTAGAAAGAGAGAGTCTGCCCACAGAGAGCGAGATAGTGATACAAAGGTTGTGCTTCAAGTAGGTATTCGGAGTGTGGCCTCCATTTTTATCTATAGCTTCATGGACACAACCAACTTATGAAATGATGCGTTTGGCCGATAATATCATTTGTTAGAAATTGTTATAAAAATGAGTATCGCCATGGCAACTGCCGAAAACTTTAGCCTGTTTTCGGCGAGGAAACGTTTGCTAACTTCATGTTCGTCGTCACGTAATGTTATCCCATACATTTTTTTATCAGTGTCATGTAGCACGGCACTTCTGGCTAAAAGGACGCCATTTTTCTTACTACACTGGCTACCGCTATTTTCGGCCAAACACCCCCAATGTCATTAACTTATTGACATAAGAATTTGAGGTTATATTTTTGGTTTTGATTTTAATGAATTTAAAATTTATTTGGCAAGTGGAAGTAAAGATTTTACCAAAATTTCCTTCGTTGTGTTACTCTACATCAAAAAAGGAATTCATAAATCCTATTAAAAAGAAAATGGCACCTAGTATTCCCGACAGGTACGCTAAACTACGTATAATTTTGTTGTCATTATTCTTTTAATGTATTGGATTGCAATTTTTGCTTTTTCTTGCAGATGGATTCCATATAAAGCCTGTGGAAATGTAATTGAAGGAACCAGATTGATATGTTTCAAAGTACCCCTGCGAAGGGTAAGTAATTCCGTTTTTGATTTATTAACCATACTGCTGTTTAATCTAAAACCATACGGAGAGTCGTGGCATGGATGGTTTGTTTATGATTATGTTACTTAATAAGAAATACTACATAAATCTATTTTGCCTTTACACCCGTATTCACAAAAGATGCTTGCTTAAGTGAAGCAGCAAATCGAACGCACAACTTTGAATAGAGCTCTGTTATTGGTTCGTGTGTCACCCTGTGCGTCCACGCGCACTGTGAGACCTCATAGTAATGTTTGTGAATACGGGCGTTAATATCTCTTAAGTGGATTCCGTTTTCCCACTTCATAATGCCATGATTTCGCTTATGTGGCATCTAATAAACTCAAACTTTTCTCTACAAATAAATTGTATGACATTGATCCGTCTGTTTAACGATTTCCAAAATTAAAATGACTTATAATAATAAAATAATGTACCTCTATCTATATCATGCAGCATAGCAGCTGTTCAGATACTCAAGACAGCGCCATCTATATTTTCGTGTACATACTATTATCGGCAATTATTGTTTGCAAGATAGTTTTCGAGTACGTCGGTAGATGTCGCTATGTGCTTTAAAAATGCATAGGATGTACAAAATGCGGCGGTACTACACGCACTTAAGATTTTCTTCGACCTCTACCATCATTGTAGAATGTAGAATGTGTCAAACTACCGTTTAAAAAGTTTTAGTGCCTATTCCAATATTACTCAAAACACCTGCTCAGCATCGTAGTCTTCTGACATTCATTCGCAACCACATCAGCAAAGGCTAGCCGACAATGAGATGCATTATTGGTCCACAACCGCGAGTCACATTGTCTGGGGGTGTACTCTGCGAACCTTTCTCGATATATCAGCTTGAGGTATGTCTCTATCCCTATCATCACACCAGATTAGAGAGAGATGGACGAATCAAATAAATTGAAATACTTTTGCGGAATAGGGGCTCTATTTGTATAACTGTGCGAGATGCGTCTGCCTGGGCGTTCACTTGACCATCCACAGTTATACGGCAAACAACTTGGACGATTTCTGTGTTAATTTGTTCTGCATAGCGCTTACATCGCTTCAGATATCAGAAGTTTGTTTGGTTTGCTCGCCTCTTCAGCTGGACGCCCGACTTCCTACTAGAGTGCCTGAATTGTTTTGCACTTGCAGTTATGTATACCAAAAGCTGTTGCAGCTACTCGTATTTTCCCTAAACGTTCTTGTCTTATCTTGGTATTATCTAGATCTTGTTCAAGCTTTATTACTACTGAAACGATCACGAAAACAACATGTAGTCTGTTAGTTATTATGTTTCATCAAATTTTAACCACCCCTTATTATTTATTCTCTAGAAGTCCTGGACGAAGACACTTCTACGTCTTAGTATTTAGGATATTAGATAAAGCGTTCTAGGATCAGATTCTTCGAATTTCACAATACTGGCTCGTCCTTATCTGACCTGTCCTTTATTACCTACTTTGATATCCATCGGAATTGCTTTGAAAGGGATAGCGACTGAATTCTTAATAATCTATAAGGGTTCCGTTTTTTGCCATTTGGCTACGGAACCCTAAAAATCAGATAGATCGAACTCTAGACGAACCATGGATCTTTGGTTTTAATAGTTTTCATATTTAAGCTAGTTCTGTTNATTCTGTTTCATTCAATCGCTTTGAATTTAGAAGGAATCTGTAGAGTACCTACTTTGAAAGAGACCGTGCTAGAAGATGCCATCGACACTAATATTATAAAGAGGATAAGAGAAAGAGGTGCCGAAACTACTGGACCGCTTAATTCTTTCACCATTATGATCCTACATTATTTCTGATGAACATAGGCGGTACGCAATTCGCCGGGTCGGCTAGTACTTAATAATGCCCCGGGTCAGTCCTCATTTCAGCCTCATTGCTTGACAATACGCGTAGCGCCCTCTGCCCGCAATCCGGGGATTCAGAATTCAGCCTCGGGGCCACGAGTATTCGGATCACCCCATAGCGGGGATGGCGTGCGTGCCATCAAATGCCATGCTCTTGCCTATTGACTTGAATAGCCTTTATTGCTTGGAAATTAACCGGCTGTTGTTCACCTAGTATGTTCTGTAAGTCACCAGGAGCTTCAGAACTAACAATTTTCTTTGTTATTAAGAATTTCTGGCGTTACCTACGAGTCGCCTCTCGATCTTAAATTTTTAATAAGTTGAAAATTTAGAATTTTCTATTCCATTAGTTTTCTTACTGTATGATGATTAAATAATTAGGTATAACTTATCAAGAGAATGCCTATCTTTTATTAATTTGTGCAGTACAGGTTTCTTTCTTCTTCGTACCCGCTCACTTGTTTAACTATTTTATGACAGTTGATATTTGACTTGCGGCATTCATCCTCAAACAATGTTTATTTGAACACTAGACAACTTAAGTAAAATGTTTTAATTAAATAATTACAATCTGAAAGTGTCGCCGCATGATATCTAAATGACGAAACACAAAAGTAACTGTAAAACGGCGGGAGTTTCTAATTATGTTATTGTGGAGTAAGATTAAGCCAGAGGGCTTAGGATAGCGCGTAATTGTGCTTAAAGTGGTGACCTTAATCCTTCATACATCCTCCCTCTGTTTGCCCAGCCGGGTGTCAAAATATTTGTCCCCCACCAAATAAATAACAGTCCCGACTTCGAATTGTCTAATCCCATATTTGATAAAGCAGCGGGTGCCTCCATACCGTTCTTTCGGTACACACGACTCTTTTATAATCTTTATATCTTTTGACTTTTTTTTTTCAAAAACTACTCCTTTATTCGGCCATGGCGCTTTGATTCCGCTTCTTTATTCAACGGGATTTGACCATAAATTTCGATAGTTTTGTTCTGTTTGAGTTATAAAGGGATATTACCGTAATGGCAAGCGGTAGGAGTAATTTGATATAACTCACGATTCACATTTTTCTGTTATGATTCGGCGGGTGTATATTGTAGTTTTTATATTTCCTTGAATTTATTTAAGTGTATTTGTTTTGAGGACGTTTGTTGNAAATTGTCACTATCAATATTTTTTACTGAATAACCTGTAAAGTTAATTCTACAATTTCTGAAAAATCACCTAAAAGTAACCTTTTCATTAGTGTAACCTAAAAGTAACCACAGCAGTTCAAAAGTAACCTAATAGGTTACAAAAGTAACCTTCTGGCAACACTGATGGATTGTGAGTTGTGGTGACAGGTAACAAGGGTCACGACTGTTTTCAACTAATTTAAAAGAAGCATTTTAGCAGTTACGGGATCATGCTGCGACATATTAATAATATAATAATTGTTCCTTTTCCGTTCTGTTAACTTTATCTAAAGGTAAAAGTAGTGAAGCCTGCTCTACTTGGTTCCGTACCATCTGCCGGCTGATCTGCTCCAAAGTGTTGATGCAAAGTACAATGAATAATATTTTTTTCTCGGCTTGTTTTTTTTACTTTCATCGGCGAAAGCGATGTATCGCGCAGATGGCAGACGTAACGCATTATGTCAATCGGTCAAACGTTCCTCGACTCGACAATAACAATATTTTCATTTTGCAATACATTTTTACGATATCACCTCTATGCAGCGCTGCAATTGGTCCAACGACCGTGATGTATGCTCATGTTTTCATTATGCTCACACACGAAGATTTCTCACAAACTTATAGACGACAGACATTCCTTATTTTGCTTGCGATATTTTATTTGTTCTTCTGACCCGTTTAAAAGCTTAGCCGGTGACAAATGATAGCGCATTTCTTTATCTTTTGTTGTGTGTTGACATGTTGTATCTAGCATCTCCGAGGGTTAAAGTCCCAAGTTGTTATTTAGATGTCTCTGTTTTATACGTGCTGTACGTTGTACTTAATGACGGTTCTCAATTCTCATAATACTTTTACGATATTTTCACACGATATCTATTTTCTAGAGTTTTGCCCTTCAACAGATTAGGTGTGGTCTTTGTAATAAAATTTAAAAGTATATTTAACAATTTTGATACCAAGTACCTACCGAGAGCAACGGATACAAGATATTCGAAATATGTAGTATAAAATTGTAAAGTATTGTCTTTCGTAGTCACTATTATGACAAGATGCCATAACAAGATGAAATTATAGAGCCGTATCGATTACAAGAATTGTTAATTCTTTATCCTTTTATGACCTACAGGAATACAAAATGGCTCGATTCAATTTTATATTTCTTTTGTTGAATGTTAAGTTACCCAGGAAGCAGAGCCAGTGTAAGTTCATTCGTGTACAAATTATAATTTCAATAAACATTTGAAGTAATCAGGAGTTAAAATTGTAACGTTCGTTTATTAGTTTTTAATCTAACCGCGCCTGAGTAATTTGAAATTAGGCGTATCATTAGGGTAATTCCATCGTAGATCCTAGACCATCGTGAATGTTCCAAAACGGTTCATTTACACATTTTATAGCGCGACACACTTCAGTATCGGCGGGAGAATCTGGACCGGGATAGTGTTGCATTTCTCCGGCCACCAGGCCGAATAAAAAAGTCATAAACCGATGACACGCTTGGGAACACAGGGTTGTAATGTAGGTCGATATCAGACCAACATTTTATTGGGCCGACAACAGCGAAAGCTACGTTGCACTTATCGTTTATCGTGTAGTATTACACGCTCGTAAAAATACAAACTAAAAACTAGCCCGTCCACGAGCGCATTAAGGATGTGTTGAATTAGTTCGTACCGTGTTGAATATTCATTAGGGTGTGAAGGATCCAGTAATTAATAAAGAAACCGATCGAGCGTCAGTAACGACGATGGAGCCGACGAATCATTCGGCGCGGGTTTGATCGACGTCCTGTAACGGGACGGGACCCTTTGAAACGTGGCTTCCTCGCCGTGCCCACACACCCTTTGTTAAAATAGCTAGACATACGTCAACGTTACTTGCCGACGATATTGGTTTCGGTAACGGTTTTATAGTCTCTAGATTGACGTAAATCATACTCACCACGGAC